AATACCATAAGTTTGACTTCAAAATCACATTTCACAAATAAAATCTATTTATGATTTTATCAATTTTAAAACTGAACTACTTTTGTGATTAGGAAGGGAAAGAAATTAAGAAAGTGAAATGGTTATAGGGTTCATAAAATACATATAGTACATATTTACAAAGGGAGGTAACTCCATTTAAGAATTTTAGCACTTATAAAAAAAGCCTATCAGTTTGTGTCTGCTAAAGTAACTTATGATACCTAAAACCAATATTTCCTTTTATATCGCTGTAAAACTCAACAAATCAAATACAAAATATGCAGTAAAATATTCAAAATGTTTAATCATTTAAATAGTAAAAATATCAAAAGTATTTTTTAGGCAAATTGATGAAAACAACCCTATTCAGTATGAGAAAAGATGACACAATCTTAATGAGGTATCAGTTGAAATTATGTAAGATATCACTACTATAGTTCCTTCCATGTTTTAAGCCATACAAACGAATAAAAAGTTTGAAATTTTTACAAAGCATCCCCTGACCCCGCCCCCAACCTCCTCTTCACTAAAACCTTTCAGACAATGATTCACTGAATTGTAGGACAAAAGGAAACTAAAAACACACAGAAATAAGAACATAAGAAAGTGCACATCGTCAATTCTAATTAAAAAGGGTTTAAAATTTTTTTGGGTCAAACCTATTATTACATAAAAAAATAATAAACAATCAATCAACAAACTTTCATAAACTCTTAAAAGTGATTTAACTGACAACCTGATTTCTTCACAGCCATAATATAACAAAATAAACTTTACACTTTCCTAAGGTCTTAACCATTGACAGCAGGATCAGGAAAATTTCCAATTAGCTTTCCTAAAATGGAATGAGTCTTCATCAGTATACTAAGAAAACTGAAAATGAACATATTGATAATTTTGAAAGGATGATTATATTTGTAACTTTTGTGGGCAGCCAGGTGATAAAATGGTAATGTACTGACCTCTCATCAGGACAAAAGGCATGCAATTCCCTGATCAGATCTGATAAGGTAATGCATCACTAACAGGGTACTTTCCTTACACCATTTATAACTGGCCTACAACGCTCATTGTTTTAGTTTGGTTTGCGATTGCTTCGAGTGAAATGTTTTGTACTGGTAGCCAACAATGATCATTTAACATTACTTTGAAGATAGAACAGCATGGTTATTGTTATTACAGTTAATGTAGAGAGAAATGGAGTCTATGGAAGCTTTTATTGGTAGCTACTGATAACCTTACCACTACAACTAACTTCATATAGACATGTTCTTTCTAAACTACAAGTTCTCGACATCATTTTTTCTTGCATCTCATACATGTCAATAGTTTTGTCAAAATATTATTTAAATGTCATTTAGCAACAAATCCCTTTGAGGTAGTTTTCTGATCAGGTAGTAAAATTAATTTATACATATAAATATCGTTTAAAAATCTATTTATTTTGAAAGCAATACAACAGGAGCTTTAATATATCTTAATTATTTTCAGTTTTAATTGATTTTTCCTCATGCGACTTCTGCAGAAACAGGACTAACTTCATTCTATTTCTTTAAAAACCCCTATTTATGAAAAAAAAAATTTCAGATTGAAATTTGGATAAATCCTTTCTTTTATAGCACACAACATTCATACCACAATGAATTTCTCAAAACCTTTTTACCATCCACACAACAGCAGGGAATGTGAAACACTGGGATAAACAGATAACCTTAGAGAATTTCAATCATCGACTCATATTGTGGTTTTGTAAGTCTCTAAATTAACGCAGGAAACAACATTTACAGATATAAAATCACTCCCTTTGTAATGTCATTACAGAAAACAAATATTTATATATTGATCCTGGAAATTTTTTAGAAATATTAATGCTTTTGTAAGGATTTGGTCATGTTAAGAGTGTTGATTCACAGTTCCATTACAGATATTCATGTATAATAATTGACATGAATAGACATATCACATTAGTATAAACATCCTACACTTATACATCAGGACTGTTACAGGTCAATTAAAACAATGTTATAAAAGTATCATATTGTACTGTATAAACTGTTTAGCTGGTACACATATATCTTAATGAAATCTACATTTTCATACACACTTAAAAATCTTGTTCACTATTGTGCCCCAAGAAGAAAGTGAATCATCAACCACTACACCTCTGTCCCTCTCATACTGTTACCATGACAAAGAGTAAACGACCTTGACTTCCACAATAAATGTGCCCCATGATAACTACAAAGAACCATGAATCATGAACAGATGAATTGCATTGTTTTGTGCATTATGGTTATTTTTATCATAAGATTTTCCCCCTTTCAAACATCCCCAAGAAATATCTAGCATTTTGGAATCGGTTATAAACAAGCTGGTTTTTATTTTTTGGCTTTTACATTAAATAACAATGTTCTTAAAAGTTGACTTTCAGAATCTAATTTGAAGGTGTTGTTTATGCAGACTGATTGTTAACTTGTATGTCCTAGACAGATATATGGTAAGAAGGAATTTGGTTGTTTCTTGTCATCAACACAACAGTTGTAATCTAATGATTATAAATACAATACCATATGGTGCTGCAAGGACAAGACAACTCAGTTTTTTTCAAACCTCATACATCTTGAATGCAACAAATACAATTGCACATAAAGAGCAATGAAGGTTTTTTTCTTTGCGAGGCAGAGTATTGCTTTGTAAACAATCTCTTTTGCTAACAAAGGGATGTAACTCTTCAAATAGGCATGTGACCTAATTTCAGTGCACCTCTGGATCAGAAGATTGATGGATTAACAGTGTAGTACCATTCTGGTAGTAGAAGACACATCAAGCAGTCCTAGCTTAAATATTGATAATTAAGAGTATTAACAAGTCCAGAAACCAAAGAAACCTACTTAGTCTGATGTAAACAACACTTCCGCTCGTCAACTGCAATGACCAAAAGTTTCTTACATTAAAATCTAGAATTTAATAGAAAGTAAATTCAGCAGTAGTTAATCTGACCTTTCAGAAGAGTGAGGAACTTGCTGAAATATGATGTATGATTACTGTGATGGAATAATCTACCTCATACACAATATTAAACATAAACCTGCCTATTACAGGACCTATTATACAGCAACAATTAAGATATATAAACACCTTTTGTAAGTATGTAACGAGGTCATTGGAGAGATGCTAAGCTGTCTACACCATTTAGGGCCTTTGATTTTACATCACAAAAGGAAACTTTTGAGCTTGATGAATAGCTCTGATCAGCTGTAATCGAAATTATCATTTTCATTTGAAGATTTTGCAAAAGGGTTTACAAACTTAATATTTAACAGTATAAGCTTTATAGTATGACAAGACTTTTTATACAGTGAAACAGTTTGACAAGCTTTTTTGATACAGCGAAGGAGTATGACAACCTTTTTTATACAGTGAAACTTTGACAAGCTTTTTTTATACCAAGAAACAGTATGAAAAGCTTGTTAGAGTTAAACAGTATAACAAGCTTTTTTATACAGTTTAACAGTATAACAAGCTTTTTTATACAGTGAAACAGTTTGACAAGCTTTTTTTATATCAAGAAACAGTATGAAAAGCTTGTTAGAGTTAAACAGTATAACAAGCTTTTTTATACAGTTTAACAGTATAACAAGCTTTTTTATATACAGTTTAACAGTATAACAAGCTTATTTATACAGTGAAACAGTTTGACAAGCTTGTAGAGAGTGAAACAGTACAAGCTTTTTAAACATTGAAACATTAGGACAAGCTTTTATACATTAAAACATTAGGACAAGCTTTACACAATAAACAAGCTGTTGTATAAACCATTGGTATCTTCAGGCAAATGATTTATGTTTAGAGAATGTTTTTGCTCTCTTGTTTATTTACAATATATATACCAAGTACACTTTGTTTAAAAAAGAAAAGTAATGATGTAAAGAAAATTAGGTTTCAATACATTGTGTGAAGACTTGATTGCACAAATATCTGTTGCAAATGGTATTGATTTGTTAAAAATTAGTTCCACACCTTAAAATCTCTACTAACAGTTATGCCAACCTGAGATACTGATGGGTAACTTAAAGAGTCAACAGAATAATTAAAAACGGTCAAGAACAAATACAAATGTGACCTATGATAACCAGTAACATATTTTAGAACTTTCAAAAACATGACTTTGCCCGTATCAATTAGCCCGTATAAAGCACTTTAAAATAGTATCATACCAGTATTTGTGGGTACCTGAGAAAATATAAACTAATAAATATCATGGGCAGACATCTTTGAGAGAGCATTTATCTACAATTTAAAATATTTTTTCATGACTTGAAAAAAGTCTACAGCATTTTTTATTAAAAATATTATATATATATATGTGTATATATATATAAATACCTAAAATATAATGAAATGCATGTGATGTTTCTTTAAAAAGCTATTTTCATTCTGTCTAAATGAACTGCAAACCCATAGTTACCACAGTTATATTTATCTGAGTTATCATGTGAGAATCTGATTTTTAAAACGGGTAAATCATATCAACATTCAATTAAATTTCCATAAATATATCTGAATGAGATTCTGCAAAACATATTTTCTGAAATCAAACCTACAATTACTACATTATTATCAATGTGTCATCGTGCACTATCTTACCATAATTCAAACATTTGTTTCTTTGTGCAATATTTTCCTCGGCATTCAATTAACTTCAACAATGGATTAAAGGTCTTACAATAAAGACTTGGACTGATGATCTTTTCTTCAAACATGCTTTGTTTAAGTGGCAAGCTTTTAGTGTGATAAGAAATCTGGCAAGAACTTAAATCATTTCTCAGAATCTTTTCTTTGCTGTAATGTTGTCACATAAACTCCATTCTTCTGTATATATATATATATCTATCTTACTTATAACATATATAAACAATGCTTGCATTAAAAAACATGATTTTAATGTTCAAACTAAAATGAATAAAACAGGAGGTACAACACATTAAAATCACTATCTACTAGCTTAATCATGAATGACAGGTACTTCTTCAGGTTACTCTCCACTAAAATTTGATTGGTAGTAAATGGGGTAGGGCGGGTGGGTGTCACTTTCAACAACAAATAAAATCATCCAATCACCAACAAACATACACAGACAAACATTTCAGATATCCCTTTGGACTTGAATGGAAGCAGAGATCAGTCAACACATAACAATGCAGGGTGAAGGTACTAGGCTTGGGACTCCCGCAAACAACGAGATCCTTATTCTACGACAGCAATGTAGATTCCATGTGTTACATGTACAACCCTTCCACATGTCTTGTTGCACAAGTCTACTCTGTTGTGACATTGGTGTTAAGATCTGGTTGTGGAAAATGATTTATAACATTGATCCTGTGTGTAGGTTGTGAAATGGTTGTTCTGTACGATGATGTATACTACAAATTAAAAAATGGACCCACCATAATCATCACTATACTAGCACGACGTGGTTGTCCGCATTTGCAATGGCACATGTCCATTAGCTAAGTTAGGCGGGATGTTGATACCATTAATGGGATTATAACTATGATTTGAGCTCTTGCTGCTCTCCTTGCTTCCATCATTGGATGAGTCTATTGCACTGTTGGAGTCCGCATTGAACTGGTGGTTGTCATCATTAGGAACCTCTACCCTGCCCATCCCTCCCTCCTTGGTCTCCTGTAACAGTATACAGTCACATGGCTCGGAAGCCCCCACATGGTTTTGTGGGTAACTTGAATATCGGTATGCTCTATCCATTAAGCATATATCGTCCTCATGCTTTAAACATGCCCCACTTCCACTTGTTCCCTCACCAGAAATAAAGGGCATATGAGAATCGTCCTGTCCCATATCTTCCCCATACTCTTCTTCATAATCAACACAATCCACCTTTCCTTCATTAAAGAAATAGGATGTTTCCCTGAAGTGTGGATCAAGTTCAGGTACTAAAATTTCTATAATTTCTTTGAATGTCGGCCGTGATTTTGGTCGATATTTCCAGCATTGTAACATCATATCATATCTGTAAAAGAATCAAAATTTGGTATACATAACAAGATCTATAGCAATTTCAAACCCAGACAGAAACAATTATTGTTTGAAAGCAATTATCATAGTTCATACTAAGATGTACTGCTTTTTTTTTCTTTTTACTTTTTTTCTTATTTTCTTTTAATTCACTTAAAGCTGAACCAGAGGCTGATTTTTCATATCCATGCCATCATTTAGGAATGATGACTGCAACGATTCCTATGAATAGACACTGAATTATACTTCACTTGCTATATTCGTTTTCAACCAAAAGAAACTTAAAATGGTCAGACTTTCAAAATGAAAATTAAATGAAAAGACATGCTTTCAATGAACCCTGTGACACATTCAGTCAGCTCTTAGGGCTACACAAAAAAAAGTTGACTAGCATTGAGACCAATCATGTCTACTTGTAACTTCCTGTCTAGCATGTCACATTTACAACCTTTAACTTCCTACATCTTTCACCTAGGTTCCTAGATACTTACAAAACTTCTGGACAGCCTTCTGGTGTGTCCATTGTTTTAGCACTGATAACGTATTTGAGGACCTCTTCATTTGAGAGTCCTTGATATGGCTGGGCAGCCAACGTGGTCATTTCCCATATAACCACTCCATAGGACCTGTAAAAACAAGTACAGTATTGAGTTGAAATCAATGTTATTCAGCTATAAAGTAATACATCTGTTTATGAATTCTGCCAACAGCCTACAAATACCCTCACATTAAGTATATTCTCAGAGATACCCTGTTAGATATAAGAAAGTAAAATGTTTACCAATTAAAATGTACTTTGATGATTTATTGATCATAATGAACTGATGACAAGGAACATTTTTCATGCTTTTCAAATTTCTCCCAAACACAGTAGTAGATTCCAATGGTTTTGTAAATGTATTCATCATATATCATATACAGAGATATAAACATTCATTAACCCTAGTTAAAATAATGTAATTTAGAAGCAGAATCAAGGTTAAATCTCCTTTGCCAAATCCTGAATCACTTCACATGTGACTTATTTTCAGTATTTCAAACTTACCATACATCTGACATGCTGGTAAATATACCATCTTTCAGAGACTCTGGAGCCATCCATCTTACAGGTAACAACCCTTTCCCACCTTTTCTATAATAATCAGTTTCATAAATATCTCTGGTCATTCCAAAATCTGCAACATAGAAAATATCACAATAGTTTTTAACTGGTAATTCCAACATCTATCACATAGAAAGGACAGAACGACCTTCTATCATGTTATTTCAAAATCAAACAAAAAACCTAAGATGACACTATTTATTATGGTTACAAATGTCTAAAATATTGAAAGTTAAACTTCAAAAGGTCACATCTGTGTGGCCCACTATTCTACCACTTTACTAATACTTTGATGAAGATAATATTTCACTGCCACAGATCTGTGTGGCCCAATATTCTATCACTTTACTGATACTTTGATGAAGATAATATTTCACTGCTAAAGATCTGTGTGGCCCAATATTCTATCACTTTACTGATACTTTGATGAAGATAATATTTCACTGCCACAGATCTGTGTGGCCCAATATTCTATCACTTTACTGATACTTTGATGAAGATAATATTTCACTGCCACAGATCTGTGTGGCCCAATATTCTATCACTTTACTGATACTTTGATGAAGATAATAATTCTCTGCCACAGATCTGTGTGGCCCAATATTCTATCACTTTACTGATACTTTGATGAAGATAATATTTCACTGCCACAGATCTGTGTGGCCCAATATTCTATCACTTTACTGATACTTTGATGAAGATAATAATTCTCTGCCACAGATCTGTGTGGCCCAATATTCTATCACTTTACTGATACTTTGATGAAGATAATAATTCTCTGCCACAGATCTGTGTGGCCCAATATTCTATCACTTTACTGATACTTTGATGAAGATAATATTTCACTGCTAAAGATCTGTGTGGCCCACTATTCTACCACTTTACTAATACTTTGATGAAGATAATATTTCACTGCCACAGATCTGTGTGGCCCAATATTCTATCACTTTACTGATACTTTGATGAAGATAATATTTCACTGCCACAGATCTGTGTGGCCCAATATTCTATCACTTTACTGATACTTTGATGAAGATAATATTTCACTGCTAAAGATCTGTGTGGCCCACTATTCTACCACTTTACTGATACTTTGATGAAGATAATATTTCACTGCCACAGATCTGTGTGGCCCAATATTCTATCACTTTACTGATACTTTGATGAAGATAATATTTCACTGCCACAGATCTGTGTGGCTCAATATTCTATCACTTTACTGATACTTTGATGAAGATAATATTTCACTGCCACAGATCTGTGTGGCCCAATATTCTATCACTTTACTGATACTTTGATGAAGATAATAATTCTCTGCCACAGATCTATTTAAAATTTATCTAAAAAAATTATTAAAAATGACAACTCTTTTAAAGCAAAATGACCTACAAGGGAAAAAGCTTGATGAAAGTTTTATATAATTATATATTTTTGCTGATTAAATCTCAAACAAAGAAACTTTTTAGATATGTGTATCTCGTGTCTCCTGGGAGCTTATGAAGACCTCCGAGGTCATTTTGAGTAGTCTGTCTCCAGGGATACTGTATATTTGTGAATCCCCAGTTTCTATGGAGACTTAAGATTTTGTGAGTGTCTTACTTCTAGAAAGACTTTAGATTTGTGAGTTTCCAGTCTACAGGGAGATTTGTGAGTTTCAAGTCTCTAAGAAAAGAAAGCACATGTATAGCCTTACCTCCAATCTTCACTGTTAGATTGTCTGCCACCATACAATTTCTGGCTGCTAGATCACGATGAACAAACTTCTTGTCTGCAAGATAGGCCATCCCATCAGCAATTTCTCCTGCCATCTGCATGATACGGTGGAGAGTCGGAGGGGTACGACCTGCATTATCCTGAAAAGCAGCAAGATATGTATAATAATCTAATGTTAAGATGATAAAGATCTGAGTTGAGTAAGATTGATTCTGCATGTATGTTTAAAGTGATTAAGTGATCACTGAGTAAGTGTTTAATCAATTACTGTACCTCTTCATCTGGCCGATGCATGCGAAGGAAATTTTTCAAATCCCCATTGCTCATGAGTTCCATAATGACATAGGCTGGTTTTCCTTGAGCCACACCTGCAGATACAACTCCAAGCAGCCGTACCACGTGGGAGCACACAAATGCCCTGAAACAAAAACAAAACTTTAGTCAGGCCTCCTTGAAGTTTTATTACAATCATTCATAAAAATCTTGTTTCATTGTTTATTTCAAATGGAGAAGATTTGATAAAAAAAAAAAGGGAGATGGTGTGAGGAAACTTCCAATTTATTGAGCGATCAGAAAAGGAAAAAAAATTTTTTTCAGTAAGAAAATCTGGCAATGATTTACAGCTTGCCCAGACCAATCTGAAGGATCAACAAAAACAGAAATTTCAATGTGATCCTAGTCTTACCACCAGTTTACCGAGAATCATTTTACAGTCATAGTCAATCAGACTTTTCTACTTACTTCATAATGGAAGCTTCATTTAAGAAACTCATTCTTTCTGAAAATGTAGCACTTGAATTCACTGTCTGTAATGATAAAAATTTTACAAAATCATTACGACAATAATATACAAGCTGAAAATTTATATATTTTATAAATGAAATTTTGAAGTCAAATATGAATCCCCCCCCACTTATCAACTTACAGATTAATGAACCAGCCAATTTTTTTTTTCTACATCAAATCATTCTGGATTACCGAAATATGCCTAGAATGAATGTACTGTGACAGCCATGCAGGATACCAATTACCACTTGTTTAGATAAAACCTTACTTTGACAGCCACTTTGATCTCTCCACTGACTTCCTTCAGATCACTTGCCAGGCCTTCATACACCATCCCAAATGACCCCTGACCAAGTTCACGAATAAGTTTGACCTTGTCACGATCCACCTCCCAGTCATCTGCTATGTAAGCTAAAAGACAAAACGTATCGAACATTAAAACAGGAAAACTGTGTCTGTGTATTGTTAGATAATAACCAAGGCCCTTGTATGTTGACAAAATTCCCATGATATTTCTTCTTGTAAGTTACACAAAGCCATTCATACCATAAACAAACAATTGTGGCCATTCTATATTTTGACCTATCACACAATGACCTATCAATGCCAGGGTGCCAGAGTCCAATAGCTGTGAAGTGACCACCAAAGTCAGGCAAGTACTATAGTTATTTAAATGAAAGGTATGATAGAAAAAATCCACGAAAATGTTACTTCTATTGAAAACTTCAAATCATTCTTTATTCACTTACAAGCCCCTCCCCCCATTAATGGCATTCAATTTCACTAAGGTGTGTTCATCAGGAATATTAGCCCCTACAAAAATAAACATTTATACAATCTCACCATCGTAGTTTGACATGTATTCTGGATTTGCAGATATGTTCTGGATATCTGGGTATTCACGGAACCTGAAACATACAATCACTTACTTTAAGTCTATATTTACATCATAATTTTGACTACAAACATCAAACTCCTTCTCCTCTGATGTAATTCACTAACTTTAAGTCTATATTTACATCATAATTTTGACTACAAACATCAAACTCCTTCTCCTCTGATGTAATTCACTAACTTTAAGTCTATATTTACATCATAATTTTGACTACAAACATCAAACTCCTTCTCCTCTGATGTAATTCACTAACTTTAATTATTTTACAGTAATTTTGACTACAAACATTTTCTTTGATGTAATTCACTATTTATCTATATTTACATCATAATTTTGACTACAAACATCAAACTATTCTCCTCTGATGTAATTCACTAACTTTAAGTCTATATTTACATCATAATTTTGACTACAAACATCAAACTCCTTCTCCTCTGATGTAATTCACTAACTTTAAGTCTATATTTACATCATAATTTTGACTACAAACATCAAACTCCTTCTCCTCTGATGTAATTATTTTAATTATTGTAGTTTTTGTAATTTTTTTCCATTATCAAGCAACAGGATATATTAGCCATATCCAAAAGTACAAAATCCACGATGAAATTATATGGAGGATATTGGTGCTTTAAAAATGTCCGATCAGGTTGAAGTTGCTTACCGTCTGCGAGCCATACACCAAACAATGATTCCAGTGACAACCACTATCAGAATTCCAACAACAACGCACACCACAATGATCATTTCCTGTGCCATTACTTCTCCTAAAACACAATATGTATACACCTTGTTAACATTATCTGTTACACGGGAGAAAGAACACTTGTTTGCAGTATTATGCACAGTTTCTTTTAACCATTTTTGCCGTGAAGCTGTAGGCAGAGACATATCACTTCAGTCTCAGGGTCACATTTATATACGACAATAGTAATTGTTGTTGATTGCACTGAACAGAAATAAATAAGGAACATTCTATAGTACATATAATAAACTTTTTTCACCAGGCATGACTGTACCTTTCTCAGAATCAATTATGAAATATCGACCTTCAGTCCATGACCCATTACCAGCCAAGGAATTTGCCCGTATTTTGAAGGTATAGTTGCCTGGTCCCAACTTGTTGAGCTTGTGTCCTCCCAATGACTTGTACATTTTCTGTGATATACACACTGTGACCGGTTGGACCTGTAACACGTCGCATGAGATGTCAGAGTTGGACATGGAAAATAAAATTTGTAAATGAATTGTTTTCCTCTGTAAGGATTGAATACTGTAACCCAATATCCTTTCACAAGTGATTTATTTTTGCAAATTTTTCAACTGTAACAAATTTATGAAAGTTAATCATCTTGAATTAAGACAGGAGTAAATGTTTATAGTATATACATGAATAGCATGATCTGTTAACAAAATTCCTTGTGTTTACAGTACTACATTAATAATATACAATACTATAGTGAGTAATATATAGGCACAGGGAAAACCATTTGATGTCCCAACAATAGTAATTGTTAAAACATCACTACACAAACCAGGTCATATCAATTTGGTGGAAATAAATAATATTAAAGTGGATATCTTTAGTTATTTCTTTAATTCTCACAGTTAATGATTTTACCAACAAGATCAGGCTGAAACCTGACAAGAAGTTTGGAGAGAGATATCACTTGCTTGTTTCAAACAATTTGTCATAATATTATACCAGAGAAACTCTATGCAGTATCAAAATAGAATTTTCATGTTTTGGTACTTTAGTATCTGATAGTAACACAATATTTCATTCAAAATATCAATGATGGCATCTTTGATACTCCTTGGGTTAGGCTCACCGTCTCAGTGTATTTACATTGTTTATGTTTGAGTCACTGTGTACTTACATTGTTTATGTTTGAGTCACTGTGTACTTACATTGTTTATGTTAGAGTCACTGTGTACTTACATTGCTTATGTTTGAGTCACTGTGTACTTACATTGTTTATGTTTGAGTCACTGTACTTGATTTCATATGTTATGATGATCCCATTAGGATTAGGAGGTGGTGCCCACTTCAGAATTACCTCCCCTGTCTTATTCTTCATCACATTGATGTTGATCGAGGAACTGTTGATATTGTCAGCCACTTCTGTAGATCAAACAATATATTGCATCAATAACATAAAAGAAAACGTAATGCACAATATATAAATGCATAATTACTGTGTGAAGTTTTCTGCAATTTTTTCTGAATCTCGTAAATTAGCAACATGATGTGTATAATGGGGGTTTAATATACAATGTAAAAATAATATGAAACTGAATGATATGAATTCCATTAAAATGTTCTGACGAACGAAATTTTATTGTGTAAAATCCAATATTAAAATTCACTGCCCAAAAAGGATATGATTTTGAACTGAGACTTACTTGAAGTCATTGTGCGTTGAAGTGCTAAGGCTCTGCTACTGCATAACTTGGCTTCTTCCGACTGATTTCCCCTAGAGTCCCGTGGGTCTCGTTCCTGACAAGCTATGACCTGTAAAACAGCATTGTCAATGAAAACTCTTTGTAATACTTAAGCAAATAAATATGACATCACACTTTGGATTTGAGAAGACAGAGCAGCATATACCAAAGGTTATTCTGCTTTAAACAATCTATTTTCTCAAAGGTTTTGTTTTAAGAAAATTAATGTCAAAATTTCTTATTCTTTTGTACAAATCCTGCTCCTCTTGGAAAATTACAGCAAATTATTCACCAAAATTTTAATCAAAATTCTGAAAAATAATAGAAGAATTGATAATTAAAGTCCAGTATGACTCTAATTTGAAATGTAAACAAACAAGATGACTTAATCATACACAAGATTTTCCTTTTAACCTATTCTTGTATCATTTTTCAGGGTTTTAATCCAAATTTGGGTTAATAATTTGTTTCAACACTCTATCCTTGACTTAGAGATGGTTTAGATCACAATTGTTAGTTTGGAAAAGTAGTGTTTCACATGAAAAGATGAGGAAGACAGAGGGCTGCCGACACACTACAATAGTGCAAACTTTGTTGGATACATTATCACTGACAGAATTACTGTCTTCATTTAATTTCGTGTTCACATGGAATAAATTTTACACATCTCTCTATTGGTCTCAATGTATAAAAGTTTATAAAATATTTTTTGAGATTTTAATCTACAGTTAATATTTTTGCTTGATATTTAAATTTGCACTTTCTTTAATGACAGTAAAAATCGGCATCTTTGATCCCCCATGAATGTTAGCAACTGTAAACAGACATCTAACATGAAGAGAAACCTACATCCATGTTATAACCTACCTCTATGTTATAATCTCTGTAGTGCATCAGGTTGGGGATGATAAATTCTCTCTTGTACACAACAGCTCTATAGTAGGGGTTCGACTCCTCGTCAGGAACTGCACCCCTTTCCTCTACTTCTGTCGTGTTATACTCTGTCTCATTTCCTAAGGACTCATTGGCGACTGACGTATCTAAAAACAATGATGAGCGTCGTGCTCGAGTGTTGGAAGTTTCGCTGCTGTTGGCTTTTTTGTTCCCATTCATCTGATGATACGTCTCAATATTTTGTTTGCGATCCGAGTTTCTGCAAAAAAAATTGAACGCAAAATATACAACAAGAGTCTATACTACAGTAAACTTGCTTATACTGATAGCAAAATCATATACATACACATATGGTCGTCGGATCACATGAAATGGTTAGAAAAATGTTGTTAAAAACAGTTATGATTTCTGTGGTTTTAAGACTTACAAATCTTCTGTATACACTGAAATAATGTCTATCTGATCTTTTACTCCCCAAATTCAAATCTCAATACATGTATATATAAATCATCAAATCACACTCTGTCTCATCAGAAATGAATTGGCTAAAAACTCAATATTGAGTTGTTTTTTTAAATAAATGAAATGTTTGTGATCTTAATTAGAGCCTTAAATGCAGTAATCAAGCCTTATGACTCATCAGTATAGAAAAGCATCACAAAAAATTATTTCAATTGAGTTACTAACAATAATCTCCCTATATTGAGCTATTCTTTTATAGCAAAGGAAATGAGCAAGTAGTTAGGACATGAGTCTTTTTTCAAACAGCATGTTTTGACCATATTCCCACAAGGGATAAAGACACTCCTCACAAAATCTGGTCCTAATCATACATGTGCTTCAGGAGAGGGTTCAGACCCTGAGACAAAAATATGGAGTTAGAATTTCATTAGCTATTCAATTACAACAGAATATCTCCAGCAACTGAATGCATAGAGCTCTGAATAAACAAAACTCCTGACCACCAAGTCCTTTTTCTGATGTAAATCTCTTAGAACAGTCGAATTGTATTTAAATACTCTATAAAACCATTCACCTTTCCATTTGATAATTATCATTTCCATGTAATTCTGCTTAAAAATACCACATTTTTAGTCTGCTGTATCACATTAATTCGTAAATAATAGAAGTCTTTTAAATCATGTTAATTCAAACAAATGTTTTCCGATTCAAATGAGATATTAAAACAGTACAAAATTTTTGTTCTATTTCTGCCACATTGGATAATAATGTCAGCTATATTTTACCATAACAACACACGGAACAGAAATCTGAATAAAAATATACTTTTTAAATCCCATGCAGCTCCGATTCAGAAAATCTTCAATAAGCTCTTTTGTTATGTCTCTTTTTACATATATATACTTTTAATGACAGAAAAACATTATTGAGGAAATCTGATCTAATAAATCTCGGTATCATTCAGACAACATAAAGACAATGGTGTAACCTATACCGTTTTGATAACTATTATCACAACATAGACTAAACGTTCACTTCTCTATCTAAGCAGCAAATCCTAGCTAGTGTCAAAGGTCACAAAAAGTCCAAATATCAAAATCAGTGACTTATGACAAATTTGAAAAAAATCATGGTCAAATACGGATCATGTTTATATCTAATAAATCAGATAAATTCCATTTAATTATTAAATAACACTTCATATATCAAAAAAAAAAAAAAAATACACTATTATGTTCAAATTGAATAAACAGATGAAGTTGATTTTTGACATATCATCCTAGAACTGTTTGAAATCTTAACATTTGATTGTGTGTGAATCCTTACACATTGGAACTTCTATTGCAGGTCATATTCAAATCAAAACTTGGTATCACTTAATATTAAATAAACAAAATCAACAAGAAAAAGATGAAATTTTGCAACAACAAAACTTTGTTGCATTCAGGTGCTTTAAAAGAAAAGAATACATCATGCAGTGTTTTGAATATTTTAGCATTAATAATTGTTTTGATTCTTGAATATTTCCTTTATTAGAATATAATGTAAATGAAAGCATGCTTGTTAGTAAAAATGGTCAGTAATGCTGTAGACAAGACACCATTTCCTTAACAAAACAAATCTTAATATGGGCAGATACAGAACAATTTTTAAAATCAAAATTAAAATTTAAATATTTTTAAATTTTTTAAATTAATATCACTGTCATTTTCATATGACTAAATCATCCCATTTTTTGTGTTTGGTGATAGAGTAGTGCACAAGTCACAGGAAACCAGTTAACATTTGAAACCTGAACATTTTAGATGCCCTTATACAGAGATTTGTTATAAGAAGAAATTGGTTTCTCTAAAAGCATGTGAAAGGTGACGGGATTGTAATATTAATACCAAGCAAACTAAGGTTTTTATGGAGGTGCAAGAAGAGTGCTGGAAAGCCAGAGAGACAGACAGGGGCAAATTAAGAAAGGAAACACTTCATCTAGTTTATGTGTCCCTGTTAGAAACCTAATGGTTTCATTTAGAATAAACTCTATATTTTTTATCAATCCTGCATATAGCTGTCCACAAAATTCGAAGGCTGTCCACCATGGAACCAGGGACAAGTTTGGACCTAAGGAAACACAATCACCTTACCTCTTTCTTTAGGCAACAATAGTGGACTCTATCCTGGTCAGCTCTAGGACCATGCTACCTAGTCATAATGACCTCGTGAATTGACAGAATCAACATCAATCTTTCAGATGTTTGCTAGCATGAATTTCCATGGCCCATCAAAAACAGAAACTTGTGATGATAGTGATGAATTTGGTGAACCTGAAGATGACCAGCTCTAAAGCTGATTTGATCATAAATTATTACTTCAGAAGAAATGGATATACTTTCTATTTTCATTTTTCCCTTTAGTATTGCTATAGAAGATATGACAATGAAGATATTTGAATCAATATAGGTATCCTAATCAGTTCAGAGACTAGCAATTCCAAATTACATAACTGTCAGTTTTCAAATCTCTTATCCCTCATACAATATATTTACAATGATTTTTGACACACCACTATATCGCCCAGGTAAAGGTGTTCTTGGTCAGGAAATGCTTAACAGGAGCGAAAAGGAAGAAAATGAAAATTTTGATGAAATTCATAAACACTGAAACTATTAAACACGGTAAATAAACAGATGTTTGCCCCAAGATCTATAGCCAATTTGATGGATTTATAGGAAGCATTAATCTAGTCCTTCCTCTTTCTTCTCTATCAACCATCAGAAGTTCCAAAGCAGATCAAATATCTAATGGACAGTGCAAATCATTTGTTCTATATTACACAGACTCTTATCAAATTTATTTGATGATTGGTACATAAAAAATTATGTCGCTCTAAGACTGTCAAAGATTTTACCCATGAGGATATTTTCCATTCCAGAAAATGACCAAAATTGCATGTAATTTTATACTTAAATATAAGATCATAGCATTCCCAAACTGTACACTGTGTGATTGTGATACTGTAAAATCATCCATTTTCATGGTACTCAAATTTTTCGTGGTTTTTCAAAAACCTCTTTTGTGGACACTTCGTTTTTTGGATAAATATGGCTCCATATATCTACCTACAATAATTTGAACAGTTCGTGGACATATAAATTCATGAAATGAGATTACCCATGAAAACAATGAAAATAAATCCTCCGTAAAAATTTTACAGTATATTCCAAATATGGTAATTTTAAATATTAAGCAATGTTTGACAGCACTTATTTCATGAAAGATGTGGAATGTAAAATAAGCACTTTTTATTTACCTATTTTGTTTTGTTTTTTTGTTAGAATTTTTGTAAGTATCTGTGAATCCCTACTTTGAGAGAACAATGCTACATACTTACCTGATAATACTTGGAACACAAAATAATTTGTTTTTTAATGCTCTCTTGCCTTTTCCTGCAAGGTCACCAAGATATTTTTCTACTTGTCACCAACACCTTACTAAACCCACACCACCATGTTCACATTTTCATGAATTGTTTTAGAATAACTACCATATTTTAAAATCCAAAGGTTCTCTGGTTGTAAATGAACTTTGGGTAATGATACAATTTGTCTAATGGGAAAAATGAGAGATGTATTCTGAATCAAGCATTCAATGACAGAAACACACATAGAGAAAGCTTGCAGCTAGGATGAACAACTGTACTTTCCCTGTTTTTCCCCTCACCAACCAAAGTCACCAGCTCCCTGCTAGGATTCAGTCTACTGATCTCAGATTTATTTTCACTCAAAAAAAAAATTTTCTCTATGACACAATACAGGAAAAATATGATTTGAGAGAGGAAAACCCCACAAAAACATGACTTAAATGGAGACATTGTTGCCACATATCTCAGATATTAGTCCTTTTTTCAGCTATTCATTCTACAGCGTAATGGCAATTTCAGGCATCTGGATGGTAAAAATATGTGTTCTCAACATTTTTTTTTTTTTTTTACAAAAAAACTGAAATGCTTTATTTAAAAAAAAGAATAAATTATAATGATAAATAAATAAAAAAAAATCATATTTCAATTTGTTTCATGACTAAGCTAGGCACTGACAATGACTGAAGAGAAAAAATCCACACAAATCTGAGAAAAGTAGGCTACATAACACTACATATAACAGGAAAAATACAGTCTGTTGACAAACCCAATCATGTTGAATTCAAACACAATTCTGATGTTCATATGATCATTATTGATAAGGTCTACTACAAATAATGATTTTCCTTTATGAAAATGTACATCGGTCACAATCAAATTAATTTGTATCATCAATCTAATTGGGGTTTTTTATGATTCAAGTAACCAACTGGATTTTACACAATAGAAGGAGATTTGTTATAAACTAGGACACTTTGTGCTAGCATTGAACATGTCCACTTAGTTTTCCTAATATTTCTTTTGGACTCTATAAAAGATTTGAAACAAGAATTGTAAAGTCAAAGGATTTAACCTCCCAGGAGTTGGAGTTGGAGTTATGACAATAAGAATACATTTAGTCTGCTTTACAAAAACAGTATATAATTTTTTTTATCATAACATTGATATCCAACCAATAATTTGGATGAATTCAGTTGAATTTTGAAGATTTAGTGGTGGGGAGGGAGGGAAATGTTCACTAAGTCAAATTTTAGTATCTTCTTTCATGAATAAACAATTCCTTATCATACCATTCTGTAATGGATTGTCAAGGATATCAAAACTAGAGAAAATGTTCTGTCATTTCAGAAATTGTATCATATCCATAGAAAAAAACACATCCTTCC